TGTTGAAAGTTTTTATTCTCCCCATTATTTTATAACACACCAAACTCTCCAAAGAATACTAATAATCCTTTTTCATTATGATATCTGTTGTATTGTTTTATTGTGTATGGAGAATTAATTTATATTTGTGTACTAAAATATAACATTCTTGACATCTTTTTATAAACACTGAGAAATATACTTGTCATATGCTTGTGGGTTTCTCTTTTACATATATGACAGCACAGCTACATCAGTTTAATTGACCTTGGCAATCTGCATCTGCCAGTGATGTGTCCCTGAGGGACGGTTTCTGCAATTTTAAGCTGTGGCTTATTGAAGAACTTGTGTGTCACAATACCATTAAGTCTGTGTAAAAAATCATTTCATGCATAACATTAAATTGACTAAAAGTTCCAATTTCAAAACCATTTCTTGTTATAAAGCTACCTCAGAGTGTCTTTGTTTTTTAAATAAGCTCATTTGAACATAGTAGTAATTAAAGCAGAAATTAACATAAATCTTGAATGTTTGGTATGAATTAAGGACGTTTTCATTCTTTATAAAGACTGCATAAAATTCCAGGCACCATATCATTTAACAAATTTCTCTCCCAATTGAAGAATAATATAGACTGTGAATAAGCATGTTTTGGGATTCTTTTTCAAGTTCTTTTTCTGTTCAACTATGGAGCTCCTGGGACATATGCCACAGTCTCCATCAAGAAGCAATCTCATGGAAATCTGTGAGAAAACTGTGCATGAACATAACAGAAAATCCCCCTCCCCATTTTATAAACAAGAAAGGAATAATACAATCCTTCTATTAATATTCATTTAACACTTCAGAGAAAATGGCAAGCAGTTATTTGATTTGCAAATGTAAATATACATTTTTCATCCACTTATGCTTTCACTCCTTCCAAGCTGGGTAAAGACAGAACAGAAGATTTGCTTCTGAGATTTATTTTTATTGTATTCCAAGTTAAATGTATCAGCAGAGATGTAAAAGAGCTGTGGGGAGTTCATAGAAGAACAGTTACGATGAGGATGAGCATCTTCTTCATAAGGAGCAACTAAATAAATGAATTTCTTTCTGAGAAATTATGAATAACATGCACGTGGATTTTTTCACTGAATCCTTGATTTTAGTTCTAAGCTTAAAAAACAATTAAATAATTAAAATAATGGCTATATTTTAAAAGAATTGTTGAAATTAGGAAAAGTATTTAGCTCCATAATCAGATTTAACAAAGTTTCGGTAAATTCATATATAGTATGAATCATATATGAAGATTATGTTTGCTTAAATAGAGTCCACTGTATGTACAAGGAAATGATCCTAACCATTTGATGTTCAGTCATTCTTGGTCATACAGTCATTCTTGGTGCTTGTGATACAGTCATTCTTGGTGCTTAGTGCTACTGAAAGAAAACATTTCTGACCTGCTGCAGCATTGCTTATATTTATAAAAGTTGTCCATGTTCTACTTTCTTAGTGATCTTTTTGTAGATATTTGATGAGCCAAATATTGGGCATTAAAATATATACAGATGATCTCTATTTTGATTGATGTTAGTAACCTCATAACCAGCTGTGTGATCTCTTGGTTTTTCTTTTTATTTCTGAAATGAAATTAGGAACATGTTAAACTTGAAGGTCTCCAAAATAAGCAGGAGGAAATTTGGTAGTTAATTTTCAAAAGGAGGCCGAGATGATTTTTAATATGAAAGAAGATCCTTTTTCTATTTTAGAATAGAGTATCAAAGAATTGTTTGATTTTTAATGAGGTTAGCTGGATATTACAAATGATAAAATAATTAAAACAGTTGATATTCAGGTTTAAGACTTCAAAGGGTAAATATACATTGAGGAAAGAAAGCTTATTTTTAGAAGTATACATGAGTATTACGAATGTTTAGGGACACATAATAACACAATGCATATACAATAGAAATGCCCGTGAACAGAAGAGTGCTTTTAAATTCACAAATAAATGCCCCTAGGGTGGCTTATGATGTTGGTGCTAAATATTTTAAGAAATGCAAAGTTACTTATTAAACTCAGAGTAACATTTCCTGACTACTTATTAACCGAGTTTGTGACAGGTGGAGTGTTAAAGTGAATTGTTCTATGTACATTTTTTTGCATCCTAAAATCTGGTAAAGCACATTCTTCAAGAACTTCAATTTGTGAAGCATTTATTCAGCACCTCCTGTGTACAATTCACTGTGCTCAAGTGAAGATTCAAATGTTATGAGGCCTGAAGCTTATACAATTTGAGAGCTCCTCGTTAAGAAAAGGAAAATTTAGAGATTTGAAATTAGGCACAGGGCTTTGAAAGAGTCCCATGCAAGTGAGGGACCCTACTTAAGCTTCAGTAACTTCACGATAAAGTTATCCCTTCACATCTATGGGGGCTTGGTTCCAGGATCCCCCGTGGATACCAAAATCCATCTATGCTCTCAAGTCTGTTACAGAAAATGGTGTATTATTTGCATATAATCTACATATATCCTCCCATATACTTTAAATCATCTTTGGATTACTTATGGTATATCTAATACAATGTAAATGCTGTATATATAGTTGATATACTATATTGTTTAGGGAATAATAGAAAGAAAAATGTATGTACATGTTCAGTACAGACATAAACATTCTGTTTTTTTCCCAAATATTTTCAACGCACAGTGGATTGAATCCACAGATGTGAACCCATAGATACAGAGGGCCAACTGTAAACATATCTTTGACTCTAATTGATGTCGTGGGACTCAGAGATAACTAAGGAATTATTCCTATCCTGCTCAAGCTTAGAGTGAAATCTGTACTTAAAAAAAAAAAAAAAAAAAAAAAAAAGCTTTGATCTCCTAGTGATAAAATTTTGAATTTCTAATCTTTTTAATAATTATCTTTATTTCATATCTCTTGTAGGCCAAAGTTTTGGAAACATAAGGTCATTTCTGATAGAACAGAATTTACTTTTACCCCTTGCTGCTATTTATAAAGCTCATTACATACATCATTCAATGATGGTGTGTTACAGTTGCCATTATTAAAATAGGTTGAATCGATGAGCCATACTCACTATTGACTTTCTTACAACTCAAGTAACTGTCCACAGATGATAGTGATGATCTGTTATGCAATGGGGAACAAATGATAAAGGTCTGTTTTCATGTGACCTTTAAAAACATTAGAAAAATTTCCTCAAAATGCCATTCTGCTTTGAAAGTAATTGCATGAATATTTAATTTTTCTCTCAGTGAAAGATGGAAAAACAAATAGAAACAGTAGAAGATTTAAAAATAAAAACCTGAGTATGATATCATTGACCCATCTACTCATTCATTCATTCATCCATCAATCCAATTGAGTGTCCTCTGCTTCAAGAACTGTAGTGTGCTCTGTAAAACAGAGGCAAGCAGTGTGGACACATTCCTGTTCTCATGGAACCTGTGGTCTTGTGGGAAAAACACAATCAACAGTAATCCCTCAATAATTTTCTACAACTCTAACATTCTTTAAATAGAAAGCTACAAATATATACCAATGTTTATTTTATTTCTTTTTTTTTTTTCTCTATTTTACTCAGAAGAAACTGGTTTTAGGTGTCAAAATAACATTTTTTATATTTGGCTATTTTGCCTTATACCTGATTCATAAATCATTTCAACAACTAACTTTTCTGTTCCAAAATCTACCAAGCTCTCCTCCTTTACTTTAAGTTGTGATTAATTTTTTCTCTTTTGAGTTAGAGTAAAGAATAAGGCCCTTAGTCTGAGATGCTTTGCTTAAAAATTATGACATCATTACCTGGAGAGAACATTTTATCCTAAACACTGGCTTACTCAGTTTACGCCATCAAATGGGGTGTTGTCCACCTTTCTTCATTTCTTCTCTTGTTCAACCCTTTCTCTAAATTGCATCCATTGATCTCTTCCAAATGTCAGTATTATGCTTTCAAAATATTCGTTAGATATTTTTTTTTTTTTTTTTTGAGACGGAGTCTTGCTCTGTGGCTGGGGCTGGAGTGCAGTGGCCGGATCTCAGCTCACTGCAAGCTCCGCCTCCCGGGTTTGCGCCATTCTCCTGCCTCAGCCTCCGGAGTAGCTGGGACTACAGGCGCCCGCCACCTCGCCCGGCTAGTTTTTTTTGTATTTTTAGTAGAGACGGGGTTTCACCGTGTTAGCCAGGATGGTCTCGATCTGCTGACCTCGTGATCCGCCCGTCTCGGCCTCCCAAAGTGCTGGGATTACAGGCTTGAGCCACCGCGCCCGGCCAGATATTTTTCTTAAAGAAGCACAACCTCATTCCTCTTCCATGACTCTTTTAAATTCATTGGAATGCAGCATATTTAGCAAATAATTGAGAAACTACTTTACAGAGCAATTTCCACAAGGAATTAATGGTAATGTTTGCATTTGTTGCTTTTAACAAAACAAAGCAGAAATTGCTGGCTAAATGTAACTATATACTAGATCCATTAAATTGCTTAATAGTAAGTGCAAATAATGTAACGAAAATGTTAAATATTTTGTCTCATTTTGCTTTATAAAATGTTTTGTTGTAAAAAGATTAGCCATTGACCTGAATTCATGATGTAACTTTCAAAAGTGACACACATGAACAAGTTTGCGATGATATGAGTAGTAAGAGATCTGTAAAAATGATGGCTATGAATGAAGTTTTAGAAAACGTATTTTGTATGTATTTGAAAGGTTGTACTTTCCTTCTTTATAGATCCATACTTCGTAGACATAAATGTCTGCTCTGAAACATTGACTAAATCTGTGGTCTTTAATTCCTGTATGTGAGGTGTAAAGTTAAGTCAGTGCACTTCAAATGTATTGTTAACGCCAATGTTTTGTTAGCTTTTCATTTTTACAGTTAACTAAAAACTGTTGTTTGAATCCCTGGAATAATAATTAAACCATAATTTTTCTTAATTTTAAAATTATTATTATGGAATTGTCTATTGATTAGTCATTGTCTATTGTTTTTCACTTTTTTTCCAGTAAAAGAAGCCTTGAGCCCTATAAAATTTAACAGATGGGGTCTCCCAGAAGTAGATCCAGAAACTATGCAAACTAGTGAACCATGGGTATTTGCAGGTGGCGATGTCATTGGTTTGGCTAACACTACAGTGGAATCAGTGAATGATGGAAAGCAAGCTTCTTGGTACATTCACAAATATATACAGGTAGGCATTTTTCATCATTTCCACTTAATTCTTTTCCAATGGATAAATACTTCATTTATTTTTGATACTTATCTATAAGAGCATTTCTATACGGCATATATAAAATATGTCACATACATACTTGGATAAGAATTTTAAAATGTAGACTAGGTAGTAGAACTGTTTAGTTGATTAAAAATCGGGCCAGGTGTGCCACCTAACGCCTATAATCCCAGCAATTTAGGAGGCTGAGGCGGGAGGATGCTTGAGCCCAGGAGTTCAAGATCAGCCTGGGCAACACAGTAAGATCCCATCTCTACAAAAAATAAAAAATTAGATGGGCATGGTGGCACATGCCTGTGGTCCCAGCTTCTTGGGAAGCTGAGGTGGGAGGATCACTTGAGCCCAGGAGGTCAAGGTTTCAGTAAGCCATGATCATGCCACTTGCACTTCAACCTGGACAACAGAGATAGACCTTGTCCCAAAAAAAAAAAATGGAAAGAAAGAAAATGTATTATGCATTCCTACCATTTGAGTACTGTGAAGTCATTAGTCCTGTTGTGTTCAAAATATTTATTATTGCCTTAAATACACAGATCATACACTTATCAAATCTGATGGTATACAATATTATAGGACATATACTAGAATCTACATTAATTGTAGTCTTACATAGTCCAAAAGTGATTTGATCTGTTCATTTGGACCCAATAAGGTCCTATCTATTTTCCAAACTCTATGCACCTAAATGGAAAGAAGACAAACGTTTGATGAATTTCAGTTGCAATTCTTATTTTTTTTAATTTTATTTATTTATTTTTTATTTTTTGAGACAGAGTCTCACTCTAATGCCCAGGCTGGAGTGCAGTGGCATGATCTTGGCTCACTGCAGCCTCTGCCTCCTAGGTTCAAGCAATTCTCATGCCTCAGCTCCCGAGTAGCTTGGACCAAAGGTGCATGCCACCACACCTGGCTAGTTTTTGTATTTTTAGTAGAGATGGGGTTTCACTACATTGGCCAAGCTGGTCTCAAACTCCTGGCCTCAGGTGATCCGCCACCTCAGCCTCCCCAAGTGCTGGGATTACAGACATGAGCCACCATGCCCACCCTTCAGTTGTAATTTTTAAAAACAACTTAGTTTTATGATGAAATACAGAATGTGAAATGATGAGATGTGAAGTTGAGCATACTTTGCCACAGTGACTGTGGTCTTGAGGAAGAAAGGTGTAACTGTCAGATCTTAGTAACTTACTTTCTGACTAAATGCTTTGTGTTCTTTTCGTTCTATGATTTCATTAAATGTAGACACAGTTACCTCATTTATGTAAAATGTTCCTGAAAAATTTGCTCTTTTTAATAAAATTTTTATTCTTTCTTTCCTATTCAGGGAAGACTGCTCACACTATGCCTTTTTACCACTCTTGTTTTGGTTCTCTTGTTTGTTTCCCACATGCTAACAAAATTCATTTTATCTTTAATGTTTGCTTTAATTTATTCCTCTTTTCCATGACCGTTTTGTCTATTCTAGTTGTCTTTCTCATGTTTGTGTAACTAATGCAGGACGTACTTATTTGCTAGGTAGGGCCTGGACTTGACACTGATTACATCATCTTTTAAAAGTTTGATTCACCTGCCTACTCCCACCTCCTCCTTGGCATCTTTGAGTAGTGTGGGGCTTGGATGAAAAAAAAAAAAAAAAAAAAAAAAAGAACAATTATTTTACTTCCATGTAATGACAAATAGGAAATTTGAATGGAAATCTGATGTGTAGAGAAAGGAGAGAAACAGACCTTTAGGTATAATGAAGAAAACATGCATGTGCTTTAAAAACACATATTGATAGGAATGATAGTGTTTGAAATATAAAATAAAAGTTGTGCCATGTAAGAGTTTTGGATTTGACTGAAGGATTCAGACTTGTCAAACTAAGTGTTGAATTACATTTTAAAATGGAGTAGAGATAGAAGGTAGGTAAAAATCTCTGTCAAGTAAAATCAGCATTTCCACCTTCCTGCCAGGGTGTTGGATGCAAAGTGCTAAGCAGCGATAAGGCTAACAAGGTACATATAGACAAAGTGGGATTTTTCTCTCTCCACATTGTCATTGACTTAGTTCTGGTCTCTATCACCTCTCTTGAAATTGCCTCCACTTTCTCTCCTGTCAAATCCAATACCCCTACACTGCAGCCAGAGTCATCTTTCTAGAGTATCAGTTGAATCCTAATTTGCTCATTTAAAACCCTTCGTGAGGGTTTTAAATGCAAGTGGCACGATCATGGGGGTTATAAACCCTTTAAATGAGATCAGAAAAAAAAATGGCAATGACTTTTCCTCACACTCAAGGTAAAGGCCAAACTTCTTAGCTTTGTGATGCTGATTTGAATGTCCCCGAGCATACCGGAGATTTCTCCTGAATCAGGGCCTTTCCCCAACTCCACCCATTTCCCTCTGGTTGAGTCCCACTTGTCCTTCCGGGTTGGCTCCCTCCTCCTCGTCCAGAGAGTTTGTGACATGAACTTCCTGTGTGCTGCTTGTTTGAAGCCTACTTACTAGTCTGTCTCTTCACAAGCCAGGAACCATGTTTATGTATTGCTGTATTCTCAAAATATTTATCTATTAAATAGGAAAAATACACAGAAATCATTTATCTTCAGTACATTTAAGGAGGAGTTAAGAAAACTAATGAGTTTGTTATATGATAAGTTCATTAGCACTATAATATTGTTTTCTCACAAATGTAGCATTTGTTAAGAAAAATTTCTGTAATGTCTGCAGTATGTTTCACAGCTCAGGCTTATGACATTTTGTCTTATATTTTACATTAGTTTGTTTTGGGGGAAAATGTAACACTGGATAGCTTGTTTTAAAATATGATTTTATAAACAGATTATAGTATTAATCCTTGCAATTGGGTGTTTAGAAATTCTTTGTAATATGCTTTTTCAGATAAATGTGATTATCTGAAGACATCCATGTTGGGAGAAAGTGAAGGCAATTTCTCTGAGGAGAGCTTCACTTAAATTTCATTAGTTAGTTTGCTCAATTACCACTTATTAAGTAATAGCTGTTGGGCCCAACACTTGACTTTGGTAGAGTACCAAAATGCATAAATAAGAGCAGTATAATATAGTGGTTATAAATTTAGGCTCTGAACTACAGAGAAGACATCAGATGCAGTTCCAACACTTTCAAATCATGTTACCTTGGACAGGTTACTTCAGCACTGCAGGGTATGGGGTGAATAAGCAATTATAAATTATTATTATTACTTATAATAATAATTAGAACTGCTGTCCTCTTGGGTCTTGGAGAAGATTATGAGAGAAAGTATGGAAAGCTGTTGGTATAGACCAAGCTTTGTGACTATTTGCTGTGTATACCATTGTTGTGGGTTATTAGAAATCATTCACCTTGGATTGTTAAAATGAGATCAGAAAAAAAATGGCAAATAGGAAATTTGAATAGAAATCTGATGCATAGAGTCTTAACAGATGAATATTGAAATAGGATACTTTAGATAATTACAAAAGCATTTTATTTATCCATTAATTTATTCATCCACATACACCCGTCAATCCAAGTCATCCATGCATGAATTCATTCATTCATTCATTCAAAAAATACATTTTCAAAAGTAGTGGATATAGTAGATGGCCCCAAATATTAGATTTAAATTTGCAATTAAGAATCCTATTGTCTAGTAAAGAAGTGAGTTGTGTAATGTAAGCCTAATACAGCATATTTAACACAATAACAAAGAACATAAAGTTACAGAGGTAACCTGGAAAAGAAAATGACTGATTCCATCTGGATGTGAATATTAGGATGTGGAATCAGCAAGGACATCACAAACAACAAGGTACAAATTTTAAAAAGAATAAGAAAAATTAGAATAATACTGAGTAATTAGACTTGCTGAGATTTAAAGAAGGCTGCTGGGTAAGTTTTTATATGTTGCCCACTCCACAAGGGGTACCCAGACCAGGGTACAAGCTGGCTGAAATCCAGACCAAGCTCCACTAACCAAACAATAAAACCTTTTGTTGTGCTGCTTCTATGCAGAGGAAGGAGTTCCTTCCTCGAATTTTCACAAAGATGTTCTTCGCTTGCTCCATAAGTTCTGCACTGTGCAGGCGCTCCTTTTTATTTCATCAAAAAGCATAGGGGGGACTAATGGAAGATCTGAATATAGAGATTATATAGGAAAAATGAGATAAAGATCAGTAATTATACCAGGGCTCGACTGCCTAGCTAGGATTTTAATTTGGAGTAGGTAGTGTGGTAGGAATTGTTTACCTATAGAAGTGATAGTGTAAGATCTGGTATTAATGTGAAGAAAAGTATTTTCCAGTTTGTCAGAATTTCCCTTTTTAAGTGCCATTATGTTATAATATTAAATTTACTCTTTTTAAATTACTTGTACTAATAAATAATTCAATATGACTATGACTTCACCTTAATTGTTCATAATGTGATATTAGTGGAGTCCAGACATATTTATTTTCTTCTACCAAATGAATAAGAATTACTGAATATGAAGGATAATTTTGACAGTGTACCTAAAGAAAGAATTTATAACTGAAAGAATGACTATAGCTAAATGAATTCCTTAATTAGTTTAATTCCTTAATTTCTCTTTTCCTGTGAAACCAAAATTAATAATTTGTTGGTTAATCAGAAAAAGTTAAAATGTGAAATTGTAAAAAGGGTATACACATACATTAACCTCATCATTTTATTTTATTTTTTATTACATAAGAAGCACATGACCAAAGCTTATAATTTTAATTAAAGCATATAGATATTTTCTCATTTGCCTTTTTCTTTTAACAAAATCCAGGGCCAAGATGTTTTTAAATAAAATAGCCAGAGGTTTATTATGTATCTTGCCTAAATCTATCTATAACATATTGTCTACCATTTTCATTTTTAAAAGTTGTACAAGACCTTCAAGAATCATACAATGCAGTTTTCCAGATTTTTATGTTTGTCCTGCAGTCATTTCAGTTATTTGACCAACAC